TGGGTCCAGAATCATATTGATAAAATTTGGAAACAAAAAAATATTTTGTGGGATGACTATCCCAACGCATACCCACTAAGAAACACAACAAGAGAACATCTTTTGTTTTCCTAATGCATACAATGTCCCTGCTGAGGGTTAGTGGAATTGTCAAGTGTTTGGAAGCACATCTGCACAGTGGGGTAGTGGATTTTGTGCATGTCTTATAAAAGACAATATTTAAAGACGAAATTTACTAGAATTTCCAGACTGTGAAAAAACATTGAAGACGGTTTATTGTCAAATCTTTGTTTGATGCATGTGCGCCAAGCTCTAACTAAATCAACACAAAAAAGTGTTTTGTCTGCTGCAGTATGCGACAATCCTGACGTGTTAGAGAAGTTGAAAAGGTTATAAATTCATTTTAAGCAAATAAAATTTTCTCTTGTACAGTAGCACATTTGAAATATAAATTGACAATTTTTCTATTTCTTTTATAAAACAACATCACTTGTAACTTCCGCTGAGACTTAATAAATAAAAAGGCCTTTATTTGCAAGCGAGTTTCATATACATGTTTTTCAAACTTACTCAAGTCAAACTAAAACTAAGCTAACCTAATATATACATAAATATAATCCTACAAAATAACTACAAAGAAAAAACATTTACAATTTACATTCGTTTTTCTGCATTGCGGCCCTGAATGAACCATATGATTTGGAGCTCTTCATGTCCTGAGGGAGGCCATTATACAACTGTGGGCCGAAATAAGAAAATGACTTTCTTTCAACCTCAAGCCTCACTGTACAAGAACAGCAAAGTTAGGCCTAGTTGAATACAGAAAAAGTTTAATCAAGCAATATTTTTACTTATACATTGAGTACCTACTAATGTTGTGCCAAGACTTAGCCCAGTTTAAGTTACAGGGGTTTTATGTTTTTTTTTCTGAGGTAAAAGTAACCAACATCACGTTTTCATTCAGCCAAGAATATTATTTAACCACTTCATTTGTCACCATACTTTTCTGATTAATTAATCTAATTACAGTATGCATTGTTTATATCTTGTCAACAATTTCATATTATGGTATTGTAAGCATTCTTATTGTCAGAGGATTTATTTTTAGTTTTAAAAACACGATTTTTAAAAATTAATTGTTACTAGTCATTTAGTATAAGAATGATAGTCCAAAGTTGTATATTGTATTTTTTTCAGATTTTTTAAGACCTTACTTTGTAGTTTTTAAGAGTCAGTCTATTTGTTAATTTACTTAGTATTCGGAAGTGTTGTTAAGTTTACTATACTTCAGCAACAAAATAATGTTAAGTAGTGATGAAGAGTATTGTAATGTTTAGCACAATTTTCCAAGTGCAATAAAAGTATTGATTTTAGATGTTGTATGAACTTTTGTCATTACCTTTTCCCAATAATCTTAGTAATTATAAATCACTCATTTATTTGCAATTGTCATAGCACATAAATTTAGCAACTGTCACCGTAATGTGGTCAAGTGGAATCAAATCAACTACAGGCAAGAGAATAATTATTGTTATCAGTGAGCATATAATTTCATTAAATGATTGCCAAACTGTTTTATATAGCAAATGTCTGGCGGCTGACCAAATTGACATTTATTTCCCACTTAAAACTCACTCTCAGGTGATGAAGGAATGGAGAATAAAAGAACCCAGTATGAGTACTCAAGAAATGGTCGGTATCTTAAACACTGTAGTTTTACAAATTGAAATACGCACCCTGTGGTGTTAACACTTTGAACAAGTCTATGTGAAAAAAAACATTGTAAAAAGGGTGTTGGGCTGTTCATCCCATAGCTGCAGATCACAGAGTTTTTATACACTACTAGTGTCCCTGTTGCTCGAAATCGAACAATTCCTAAGTATTACAGGCGTTATTTTAAAAACGAATAACATCCATAATTTCTGATGACTTTAAAAAATTTGTCTCAAAGATTATGGAAATACTCAAGATGTACATAACAGATCTATATAATCAACATTTCTTATAAATATCTTATCATTTTTCCAAAGCTGATCTAGTTTTTTAGTGTTTTCTACAAATAGCCTAATTCATAGCCGCATTAGGTTGTCCATAATAACGATTATAAATAAAAAAAAGTTCTATTTCTTTTCCTTGGTGGTGTTCTATGACTTTTCTATGTTTCCATAGTTTGCAAATCGGCTCTTTCAATGATTACTACGAAATGCAGCACAGTGTTAATTCAGTTTCCTTTTTAGTATATCAATTTATCCAGGCTCTCACTTTTTTCCATTGTAATATTTACACCAACCCAAATGAAAAAGTAAACTATTAAATTTAAACCAAGTCAGTAAATGTTTGTACCAAACTGTTAAATTAGCAATATTGTTGACTGTTTACAATTAACATATGTTCTTCTCACTTTTAATTTCTGACAACAGCTGGAGTTTCATAACCATTTTTGTTTCCCATGTTAATCTTATGGAGAAATACGAAAATTAAAAGGACCCTAGGGCCTCACTCTCTAATTATTTGCCTAAAAAGAAAGTTTCCTGCACAACTTCACGTTACGCTCTTTCCAATGACACCAAAAACATGACAATCGGTTCAGTAGTTTCGGAGGAGTAATTGTCACAAAAAACCTGCTTGCGTATTAAATAAGTACTAGTTGCTCTGCCCGTGCTTCGCTACGGGGTGAGAATGCAGAAAAGAATAATTTGGTTTTACTTTAAGATACTATAATATACTATAAGAAACAGTTACAACACACTTACCAGGAAACATATAGGCATAGGCTCAATCGTACCTATTGATTATTTAAATGAATATCTCTTAATGTATTACAGTACCATCATTTTATATAGTGTATATATATCATTTAAAATATATGCAAAAGTATAACTCATTGACCACATGGCACCAAGAAACAATTCTCCTTGTAAACAAATTAAATTAAATAGCAGAACAGCATTTCTGACAACAGCTGGAGTTTCATAACAATGTTTGTTTCCCATGTTAATCTTATGGAGAAATACGAAACTTTAAAGGGCCCCAGGGCCTCACTCTCTAATTATTTCCCTATAAAAAAAGTTTCCTGCACAACTTCACGTTACGCTCTTTCCAATGACACCAAAAACATGTCAATCGGTTCAGTAGTTTCGGAGGAGTAATTGTCACAAAAAATCTGCTTGCGTATAGATATAGATTATAGATTTGAAGAGTTAAAAGATAACAATGACAAGTTTTTATGCACTTTCATATGTCCCAAACATCATTTATCGAACTTGAGATCAACGTAAGAACACTGGTGAAAAGCTGTCCAAACTGTCTGTCTGGCTTGACATGTTCCTCAGGAAATTATTGAATTAACAGAGGTAAGGAAATTAAACAATAAATCTCTGTGAAAATTATTATATTATTGTAAGCAGAATTGATATGTAACCTAAGAACAGTTTATCTTAACAAATATACAGATAGTTCTTAACAAAAATTATTATCAAAAATAAATGTCTTATAATTATTAAAATTATTGTAGCCCATATACATTTTAACACATTCACTGCTAATGATATGTAATACTTTTATAAATGGCTAAAAAACATAAACATTAACATGATCATGTTAATTGAGTGACAATATATCTTTAATTAAATAAATTTTATACTATAAATTGTGGATTAAAATATATTATGTAATTATATACATCATGTATTATATATCTGCTAATATACTTATGACGCACAAGTGCGTCATTAGCAGTGAACGTGTTAAAATGATATATACATATCTACATTTATACATTTCTAAATCAGGAAATGTGTTAAAAATATTGTTTCTGCTGTTTAAAAAGTGGCCACCATTCTCCAATATGGTAACTAACTTAAAAATTAAAAAACATATTTAAAATCTTTTTTAAACTTAGGTTCAATTTAAGACTTGCCAACTTTTTATGAGCTGCTAGATGCAGAATGTACAAAGCAAACAGTTTTTTGGTAGATACAGCTCCTGAAGTAGTGGCTTTAGAGAAAGAATGCCAAAAATAAAAACGTATCATCTGTGGTAGCATAACCCAAATACTCCCACCACAGCAATCCTGCAGACTAAGTGAATTTTCCTGGCTGGATTTCTACTAAAATATTCGCTTAAAATTGTCCGATTTATTTCCTATTCAAATAACGAGTACTTAGTTTTGCTACTACAGGGAAGGAATTAAGGTTTTTTTTATGTTGATAGCTTACTGTAAAATAAACAAAATTGCAAAATTTGATAAAAATATATCCACAAACAAGCAAACTACAACAGTTTATTTACTATCCATAAGAATAACATGGGAATTTAAATTTTTTTTTTAATTATCTCTGTAAACGTTAAGCATACAAAATTGCTTCAATATACAAAATTATTTATTTTTGTTATCTATGGTTTGGAAAGAAATTAATTGTGATTTTTTGTGTTTTTGCGTCAAAAATGGGAAAAACTAATTTTTACCCCATAAAACACCCGTTCCCATAGACCGATCATGTTGGTTCGCGAACTCGGTGGAATAAATGTATGTTTGCAGGTTTGTACCAAACCTAAGTTCATCAAAATCGGATCATTTTCGCTCGAGTTATTATGATAACGGACACACATAATATATATATATATATATATATTATGTGTGTCCGTTATCATATATATATATTAAATGGATACTAGGACTACTATACATAAACAATTAAACAAACATATTATAAAAACATTAGGCTGGTACCTTTTTAATTGAATTATATAATGATATATATAAGACCATGAGACCTACGGTAATACCTTATTCCCTACATGGGAAATTCGGTAAAACAGGATCGCTTGACAGTTACAACAGTATTTTAAACCTTTCAGCAAATTTCTCTAGCCTATAGGGAAGTATCTTTTACCATAGAAGGCACGGCAATACCTAGACCCAGGACCAATAGACTTTTTCATTTTGATGTCCTTAGAGACAAAAAACCCTATCCGTTCAAATGTTTATATATAATAGTATTGTATAATATATATATATATATATATATATATATGTGTGTCCGTGAAAGCAATAGCTTGGATAAATTTGGTTCGATTTTGATCAAATTTGGCTTGAAGGTGTAGGACAGGATGAACTTGAATGAGTTTGCGGTCCAGTATGACTGGGTCAAGGGAACGAGGGATTACAGATTTTTAGAAATTGGTTTTTTTCCTCTCAAAACATGGAAATACCTAATTTGTATTACAAATATTGTGTAGGGCTTATAAAACTAATAATTTTTATATTGAATTGTTGTTGTACTTGTATAATTAAAAGTTATATAGAAAGTTCAAAAACCTGTATTATTAATAAGTATCATAGTAATATTATAAATGTGAAAGTTTTTGTTTGTTTGTTTGAAGTTTAATCACGCATTGACTACTGGTTGAATTGGGCTGAAATTTGGTATGATGATAGCTTACATTCCCGAATAACATATAAACATATTCTTCCCAAAAATCCTTTCGGCTCCGACCCAGTGGCTCTGTAGTTTCCCATGTTAATCTTATGAGTATTCATATTTAAAAAGAATTAAAGAATATAGTCAGCTGTTTAAACTACACATGTTGGTTCTATGATATTCAATCATTAAAAGTTATCAGATTTACCAACAGGGTGCAGCACTATTAATTTATATTTAATTTATGACAATAGCTAATTTGAACCAATAAATACAAACCCTTTAAGAAGCACAATGCCTTTGTAAATGACTCAGTCTGCAAATATTTTAATTTTCCATCGTTCCAGCGGCGGTTGCTATGTACACTAACACGAGTGCTCCGCCAAGTCAGCTGACTGAGTGAGACAAAGAATTGGCTTAGAGAGAGAGAGATAGATTAGCGCGGCGGCCAGGTGAGCGATTTTACCTGCGGCCGCGTGATGCTTATTTGAGCGGCAAAATTCCAGTCTGACTATTCTCCACAAGTATTTAGCTTCTCAAAGGGTTTGTATTCATTGTTTGAACCAAGCAGCAACAAAAACCTGTGATACACAATTAGAACTATCAAAGTAGGTTGTGTTATGTTTTAAATTTATAAATAATAGTTGATATTGTGCAATTGATTATTTAGTTTTTTTTCTATTATTTAGGCAGAGTGGTAAAAAATTATGGCTATGGTAGATGTGTTATACTATAGCATACAGTAGATTAAAAGAAATAGAAATTTCAAACCATGTCCTCTCCCATTGCAAACGCAAATCACAATTATAACTTCAGTAAGCATTTTACATATAAACGGCAACCCCGTAAGGACGTGTACTCTGCTAGTTATTAATAAAAGTCTACCTTAACTACTTTGGGTGTGAGGAATTTCCTGCATGTAGGCCCTCGTACTTATGAGATTGTTCCCTAAGATGAACAGATGTAAAATGTCCTTTCAAATATCTGTTGGAAGCAAAGGATTTTTCACATGTAGCGCACTTATAAGGTCTTTTCCCTAAGTGAATCAATGAATGTTCCCTCATTGAGCGTTTAGTTACAAAGGATTTTTCACATGTCGAGCACTTATAAGGTTTCTCTCCAGAATGAACCCTTTCATGTACGTTCATTTCAGTTTTAGTTACAAAGGATTTTTCACATGTATTGCATTTAAACGGTCTCTCTCCGGAGTGTGTCGAGGTATGTCTCACCATTTCGCCTCTGGAAAGAAAGGATTTTTCACAAGAAGTGCACTTATAAGGTTTCTCTACTGAATGAGCCAATGTATGCAACTTAAAACTGCCTGTGGTTACAAAAAATCTTCCACAGGTAGTGCACTCATAAGGTCTCTCCCCTGTATGAACCCTTATATGTACTTTCATATCGCTTTTGGTCACAAAAGATTTTCCACATGTAGAGCACTGAAAAGGTCTCTCTCCAGTATGAACCCTTGTATGTATCCTCATATCACTTTTGGTCGCAAAGGATTTTCCACAAATATTGCACTTATAAGGTCTCTCTCCTGAATGTATTAATGAGTGTCTCTTCAAGTAGCCTTTGAATAGAAAGGATTTTTTACATGTAGTGCACTTATAAGGTTTTTCTCCTGTATGAACCAATGCATGTAGTCTAAGATTGCTTTTGTTTGCAAATGATTTTGAACATGTATTGCACTTATAAGGCCTCTCTCCAGTATGAACCCTTGTGTGAATCTTCAGATCAGTTATGGTTGCAAAGGATTTTACACATGTATCACACTTAAAAGGTCGCTCTCCTGAATGGACCAATGCGTGTCTCTTCAAATAGCTGTTGGTAGCAAAGGATTTTCCACATGTAGTACATTTGTGAGGACACTTCCCAGAATGTTTCAACATATGAGTCTTTATGTTATATAGTTGGGCAAAGGTATTTTTGCATATCAAACATTTAAAGGCATGCTCGCGAGTATGTGTTAATATATGAGCTTTAGCTGATTTTCTAAAACAGATTTTTCCGCAAAATAGACACTTGATAGTATGCATTTCAATTTGTTTTGGTATTTGTAATTTGGCCCTTTCTTGTTTATCAGATAAGCTAGTAGCTAATTGGAGGGCCCAACTAGTTAGAAAGCCTTGTATGTAATTTTTTTAATCTTCCTTGTTTGCAGATTACTAAATGTTTAGCAGTTACAGTACAAAGATAACTATTTAATTAACCTTTGATATAATTTTGAGTCGTTTAAAATATTATGCCAGAGATTATAAGTTAGTTTTCTTGTCATAAACTGAAGATATTTTTTTCTTCTGGCTAGCTCATGGGTTGTCATTTCTGAAAAAAAAAATCACAATTTATTAGACACATTTAACTTTCTATTAATATATAGAAGCTATAGTTTCACATAGTTCAATACAGTAGACTCCCTCTGATGAGGACACCTTTTAACCTGACGTCGGTTTAACCGGAAACCCCATTATCCGGAGTAGCCTTGGTCCCGAGGAGTCCCCGTATAAGAGGGAGTCTACTTTAATGTCTTCTAGGTTGGATATAAAACATCTAATAACATCGTTCCAAGTTTCATGTATATAGTATATCTACATAATAAGTGGTACTTATTCTAATTGTATTGAATTTGTTGACCTGGGTCAAAAAGATAGGGAGTCCCTCCGTAAGTCACTGGAGTCATACGGTAACCAACTTATTGCCCTCCTTTTTAATGGAGGGTCTATTGGATTCCTGTTTCTGACAGTCCCTTAGGACTCATATTCTATTGCTCAACAAATTTTGTGTAGGACTACATTCCTCTTCATTGACAATTTTTTAGATTTAAAGTTAGGCTACAAGTTTTTTGGGTAATTTCCTGTTAACACATTCACTCCGACGTGGCCACCGGGGGCGCACAAATAAAATTTCTGTCAAAAGTAAATTTGTGTACTAAATTACTATCTAGACTTAAAACCCTGCCATCGTGTCGATATAATTGCGGGTGGCCACGCTGAGTACTGCATATAGCAGAGCGTCACGTATTATCCAATGATTACCAGACGACGAGCTAGTTGATGGTTGTACAGTTAGAGCGTATGGTACTAAACTCATTTTCTTCTAGTGGCGATGCATAAAGCCAAGGTGTTTGGTTATGTTTACAGTGATTGTTTCAGTAAGCTATCGTATTTGAGTGTTATTTATTTTATACATAATTTGCCTCCAGGATTGATTTAATGACTTAAAATGAGGTTACTAACCTGTCGTCAATCAGTCCTATATTGTCGTTGATGACTATATTTTCGGGGCTAAAACCCCATTTTCAAATCTTCTCTTCAGTCGTCATATGTCAAACATATCCTCTTGCACAAGCCGTTGTGCAAGAGGATACAAAACCAGACTAGTCAAACTCATCTCAACTAGTCAAACTGACTAGTCTGGTTTTGTCCTTGGCCGGCCTCACGCGGATGTACATGTCTTCGTATTGTATGATAAACGTTTTCGTATGTGTTATGTGTATGTGTGAAGTAATTTTGACAACGGCTTGTGCAAGAGGATATGTTTGACATATGACGACTGAAGAGAAGATTTGAAAATGGGGTTTTAGCCCCGAAACTATAGTCATCAACGACAATATAGGACTGATTGACGACAGGTTAGTAACCTCATTTTATGTTATTTATTGTTTCTTTAGTGTGTTAAATAGATAAGTCTGTTTATTATGGTTGTCTTGACGAGACTTTGACTGATATCTAGAAGATGGGAGTGAATATGTGCTGTCAGAGGACGATCTGTGGAGGGACAGAATCTGACAGTACAAGTGAAGTGGGAGATTCAGAGGGTATTTCAGAAGGGGATCTAGTAAAAACAAACTTGACGAGTGAGTGATGAAGGAGTCAATGAGGTGCAAGATTTAAAAGGGATGGAAGAAGAAACCGGGGATCTCGTACTGGACGTGAGGAAAGATTCAAGATTCAAAAAGTCTTAATTCACACAGTACAAGGTTTTGTACATGAATACTATCTATTATTCCTTACTACCATCTTTTTAGATAACCATATTGGTAAATACCTTGTCACTTACTTTATTTGTTTAATACTTTTGTCAGTTTTACCAGTTCGTAAATCTTCTGTATTCCCCTTCATATATTTCTCGTAATTTCTCTGGTGGAAGGTGTTTAGTTATCTCAAATGTATATCAAATCTTTAGGAATGTTAGACATATTTTAAGCAATTTAAAACAGGCATTACATTAAAAACACAGTAAAACAAACTAATGCTTGTTTCTGTTACATTTATATTGTGCATCAATTAAAAAAACAGCTGATTTAAATCTTGAAAATAAACTGTAACAAAACACAAGCAAATAGTGTGGTAGTGGGTAAATGAAGAACTAATCGAGAGCGACGGAAAGTAAATTTTCAGCAAGGTAAAATCAGCTGATCGTTTTTCCCTCGCTCTAAATTAGAGTTTGGGAAACAACTAACTTACTTTCAATGATGTCAGCTGTTATTGAAAGTAGTTACTTTCGGCGTACAGTGATGTGAACACCTTTTTATGTGACTTGGTGTTTTAACTAATGTAACCTGAATTTGGTTCATGTACCACCCGTGCACATGTTTCATGAGGCTTCTACAAACACGAATACATAGTAAAAACACTCATAAAGACTTCTAAATGCCGTTTTTTTGTGTACAATCACTATAGTAATGATACACTCCCACCGGTGTCAATGTGGTCATGATAAGCTATTATTTTTATAAAGAAATACCATTCTGGAAATGTAAGCTAGGCCTATTAGTTTTGTCATTCTTTATTTTGTTTTTGTAATTTTTTGCTATGTTTTGCACAATATACAGTTTTGGTTTATTAACATTATTAGTGCGGTCCACAAGTTTGGGGCTTACTATTTTGTTGACCCGGGTCAACAAATTAAATACCATACATTTGGCAAAATAACCACTTAGGGTATAGATATTTACATGAAACTTGGAAAGAAGGTATTTTACCAATTTTAGGTAAGGTAGGCTACTTAGAACTAAGCTGTATACATGAAACTTGGAACGAAGGTATATCAACATGTATTCTATAGATGTAAAATTTGGTAACGATTAAAAAATAATTAGGTACGTATTTTATTAACCAAAACCGCCGTAAATAGCCTAGCTTATTTTATTTTGTTGACCCGGGTCAACAAATTAAGTACATTTAATACTTTCTTTCTATCTTATTAAATGGGGACCATACAAAGTATTTGGTAAAATAACCACGTAGTATAAACATGAAACTTTGAATAAAGGTATATCCACATGTATTCACTAACTATGTAAAATTTGGTAACAATTAAAAAAAACTAGTGTCCCTGTTGCTCGAATTTGAGCAATTGCTTAGTATTACAGGCGTTATTTTAAAACGAATAACATCCATGATTTCTGATGACTTTAAAAGATTCGAATCAAAGATTATGGAAATACTCAAGATGTACATAACAGATCAATATAATCAACATTTCTTGTAAAAATCTAATCATTTTTCCAAAACTGCCGTAAATAGCTCATTTTATTTTGTTAACCCGGGTCAATCGCCAAAAAAAGGTAGGTACTTAGAATTAAGCAATATACATGTAACTTGGAACAAAGGTATATCAACATGTATTCTACACGTATGTAAAATTTGGTAACAATTAAAAAAGATTTAAGTATTTATATTTTATTAACAAAAAACTGCCGTAATTTGACATACGAGTAGAATACATGTGGTTATACCTTTGTTCCAAGTTTCATGTAAATATCTACATTCTAAGTGGTTATTTTACCAAATGTAAGTTACAGTACCTATTGAACTTGTTGACACGGGTCAACTAAATGGGGAGTTCCTACATGTTTTTCATAAAACGTTCATTTATTATGGGTAGACTTTCCTAAGCGGTATCCCAAAACACCGAATGAAAATATCGTATCGATTATTCGATACCTATATCGATTAAGTTAAGTTTATTATATTCGTTTAGGCCCAGCTTAGTTAGATTAGGTTAACCTAAATAACCAAACTTGATATATTGAATGAAATAATTGATATATTGTACCAAATTTGATGTAAAATAAGCATCAAATTTTAAACGCGCGTGAAACCAGGATCAGCTGATTAGACATAGGCGATGCACCCACAATCCCCTATGACGTGGAGAGGGAAACTCTAAGCCAGGCAGGGCCATTTCTGTACCAGTGTATTCCCAGTGTTCCCATCCGTATGGTAAGTTTGTAAAGTCGGGTCGTGTAAATCATTCGTAGTTTGCGGTGTTGGCCAAAATTTAATTTTCAATAAACCTTGAAGCATATATCCCGTAGGAGTATAATCGCTACACGTTTGAAATTAAATCAAGTTTGAAAAATCCTTTCATCTGTTACCAACTAACACCGACCACATTCGAAATTTCACGTTGTCTTTGCGCCAAAATTCAATTTGTCCACGTTTATAAAAGCTCACCCTCATCCGTATTCCTTTTGTGTTTCCCAAAGTGTTTGTGTTGGACGTCCATGTAACTAGATTTATTTATTTCATTGTATTATTGTTATAACTATTTACAAAGCGGGCCGTACAGTGTTATTTTTCACTAGCTGTGTGCCCGTTCTACGCACGGGGATCTTATAGTAGTCAGTTGAAACCTTCTTAGGCTATAATAAGAACAGAAGTTAGTTTGCATATTTTCAGATATGCTGGCAAAACTATTATAAACCTTCGCAAATATAGTATCTGACAGTTTACAAAAAAAAACGTTTACAGTTAAGAACTATAGTTCATCCAACCAATTAAATGTGTTAATCAAGTCCCGAGGTTATTGATCTCTTGGTTTTGAATTTTCTCGTAAGAAGTTATCGACAATCAAAGTTATTTCCCATTACTTTATTTGTAAACAACTTTTAATGTAATTTCATTTCATTTCATTTCATATAACTTTATTCATTAAAGTACAAAACATAGATACAGGAATGGCGTCAAGAGTAATTTAATAAAACTAACTAACAATACTCATCATTATCATGCATGGCATAATAACATACCATCAATATTAATAGCTTTTCAGATCAAATAAATTAAAACAAGCAGTGCAATATGAAAGTTTATACATAAAAATATCAAAATTAAAAATATAGATAAAATTATTTTAAAACCAAAAGTTTCAATTGATATGAAACAGAGCAATTAATAACTTAAAGAACTAAAACTCTTCAAAGGAGTACATAGCCTTGTTGATAAGAAACTTTTTCAATTTTGATTTAAATTTATTTTTGGAAGTTTCTAATTTGATTTCTTTAGGAAGTTTATTATAAAATTTGGAACCGGCATATT